TCGATTATTGGATTACTCGATTACTCGATTATTCGATTACTCGTTTATTAGATTATTCGATTATTCGATTACTCGATTATTCGATTACTCGTTTATTAGATTATTAGATTACTCGTTTATTCGTTTATTCGATTACTCGATTACTCGATTATTCGATTACTCGATTATTCGATTACTCGTTTATTAGATTATTAGATTACTCGTTTATTCGTTTATTCGATTATTCGATTACTCGATTACTCGATTCTTCGATTCATCGATTACTCGATTATTCGATTACTCGTTTATTAGATTATTCGATTACTCGATTCTTCGATTCATCGATTACTCGATTATTCGATTACTCGTTTATTAGATTATTCGATTATTCGATTACTCGTTTACTCGATTATTCGATTACTCGTTTATTAGATTATTAGATTACTCGTTTATTCGTTTATTCGATTACTCGATTACTCGATTATTCGATTATTCGATTACTCGATTATTCGATTACTCGATTACTCGATTATTCGATTACTCGTTTATTAGATTATTAGATTATTCGTTTATTCGATTAAATTATTCAATTATTCAATTATTTATTTATTATTATTATTATTTTGTTATTATACTATTATTGTATTATTACTATTATTTATACATTTATACAGCTTGCGGTTTTGAATTACTTCCGGTCTCAATATACTATCTTAATAATTAATAATAGTTATACTTATAAAATATATACATTTTTTTATACGCTAAATTGTGTTCTCATAACTTTGTCACTTTGTCATTCCGCAGGTTCTGCGGCCCAACACGTTGCTGACGAATATGGTCATCGACGACGCCTCTGCGACCAGCTGCGACGACGTCTTCTTGTACATTTCTGACACCGCAGGACCCGGTTCGTGGTCGCAATAGTTGTCTACGAATTTAACCTCGGTGTCGTTAAACTGTCGCTTCTTCTTTCAGGTCTCGTGGTCTTCGATAGTGCCAGAGATAGAAGCTGGCGACTCACCCACGCCTCCATGTATCCCGATCCGAATTTCTCTATGTACAGGGTAAGCTTCTTTTGACATCGCTTCGTTCGAACGGATATCCTGATTTTGAACGTCTTCAAACAACTTTTACAGTGTTTTGTAAACATTATTTCGACCGATGCCATCATCTCGATCGTTCTGCTAACTTAGACCAAATACAGTAAATACTCCGTAATTGTACTTTAGCTTGTAAACAAAAATGGACAATTTGGGAAGAGAAGATACGATTATTCGAACCTTGCTGCTCTTTTTTATAGTCGCCGATTATCAGCGACTATAAAAACGCGGCGCGGGACTCGAACAATTGTTCACTTCTGTTCACAGTTTGCAGGACAATTGGGGAGAATATACCGTAATTAGAAGTCGTCTTCTTTAGCATATTATGCAGGTTATGGTTTAAACTAAAATAGTATACATATAGCAATCTTGATTATTTACAAAATGTTAGCAATTTGAATTAAAATATTAAATATTAAATTAATAATTATATTAAATTAGTAATTACATTGAATTAATAATTATATTGAGTTAATAATTATATGAAATTAATAATTATATTAAATTAGTAATTATATTGAGTTAATAATTATATGAAATTAATAATTACGTTAAGTTAGTAATTATATTGAGTTAATGATTATGTGAAATTAATAATTATATTAAATTAGTAATTATATTGAATTAATAATTATATTGAGTTAATGATTATATGAAATTAATAATTATATTAAATTAGTAATTATATTGAATTAATAATTATATTGAGTTAATGATTATATGAAATTAATAATTATATTAAATTAGTAATTATATTGAATTAATAATTATATTGAGTTAATGATTATATGAAATTAATAATTATATTAAATTAGTAATTATATTGAATTAATAATTATATTGAGTTAATAATTATATTAAATTAATAATTATATTGTATTAATAATTACATTAAAAATTAATAATTATATTAAAATGATTATATTAATTAATGAGTTAAATATAGAAAAAGCGTTTAAAATGATGTGAAAGTACCATTTACGACATTGTTATTTTCACGAATTTAAACAAATCGTTCTGCACACACGTGTTCTACAACGCGTATACATAAAGAAAATGGAAAAGAATATTCATTTCTTGACGGTCTAAAATCTAAAAAGATCTAAAAAAAAAAATATACCCTTTCGAAGCATAAAAAATTTGATACAGTAGAGAACATTAGCTTAGTTAGACCATTAGTTAGCAGCTACAGAAGGTTTCGTTCGAGATGACAGAAACTCTGTTATTTTAGATTGGAAACGACATGTTCGAGTTGATGGACGGTATCGTCGGTTTAGCGCTCTCCACGAGACAAGGAATGCTGTATTTCCAACCTCTGGCAACGAAGCGTTTGTTCTCGGTGCCAACTGCCGCGCTTCAGGCAGGCCCTCTACCATTCGGTGAACAATTACCGGTCATCGTGGTTGGCAGCAAGTCTAGTCAAGGCCTTGCCTTGGCCGTTGATCCTCACAGCGACATGGTTCTCTTGGCCCCGCTCACCGAAACCATCGTCGCCAGCTGGAATCCTCACACCAACGAGCTAAGGTACCATTTTGCACGCTTTGGCGGAGAACGTCGACGCGAAGATGTCGTCATACGAAGATGTGGTATCACGTATCCGATTCCTGAAGTTGCAAACGAACTTCGCGCTTCGTCCTCCACGTGATCTCGGCCAGGATCGTAATCGAACCCGTGCGTCCCGAGTTGGTTCACCGCGTAAGGGTCCGCCTTGAATAAATTCAGGTTCCTTCCGACCGGCCTCGAGTAAACCCCGCTTCTGCCGAAATTCCGGGGAAGTAGTTGCTCGAGTCCGGCGTTGAACCGTACAGATGATTATCGTACTCCGGCGTGGTGGGTAACAAACCTGTCCACCGAGTTCTCTAAACTCGACACGGTGTCCCCGTGGCCGGGGCAGTTTATGTGGCCAGGAAGCTCGTCGTGGCCCGAGATGAGCGTCTTGTAGTTCCTCAGGGACTGGACAACGGCGAGGAAGAATATTTCATCGAAATCGTTTCAAATATTTCATTCACCGCGAAATCCAAATGTTCGATCATATTTATCATATTTATGTTTTACTTGATTTACACTAAGTGGCAGTTAACCCTTGGCGCTCCGTTGGCTCCGCTATGGAGACATCCGTTATTTGTTCCGTAAATCCGAAGGCTCTGCTGCGGAGCCCAATGTTTTTCGCATGATTACACCGAAGATGCTATGTTTTTGTCGACGTTGGCAATTGTTATTTGTAGCGAAAACGTGCTTAGCGTGTGTACCATTACGATTAAAACATTTTTTGTCCATTTTTATACTTGGCAACGTAAAATGAATACAATCAAACGCTTTCGCAAGTACGCGTAATCTTCTCCGCACAAAATAAGACTTCCTTTATCTCGGGCGCTTTGCTCCAAAAATGTGCCGGAATTGCTGGTAGTGATATTTTTCAGAAAAACGCTGTTCAACTTTATTTTAGAACGTCCGAAGAATATTTCCTAATTTTTAATTTAATTGAATTATTAATCGAGCCGATTCCAGCGAAGATTAACGATAAAACAATTCCGGCAAACTCGCGCGAAAGATATTTTTGTTTCGATAATTCCGTATCCAAACAGAATTCAACGGACGATTCGCGATGCTAATTTTATAATAAATCGCGTCAAAGAACACGAGGGATATATTTATTTAAGAATTGCGAAGAATATCATTGATAGTAAATTTACCCATTTCGATGTGGATGCAATTGCTGCTCGGAAATTTCGGTCACAATTCTCGATGTCGATGCACCGACCTCGCACAATGTTAAGTAGATATCATTACGATTAAAACATTTTTTGCCCATTTTTATACTTAGCAACATAAAATGAATAGAATCAAACGCTTTCTCAAGGACGCGTAATCTTTTCCGCTCAAAATAAGACTTCCTTTATCTCGGGCGCTTTGCTCCAAAAATGTGCCGGAATTGCTGGTAGTGATATTTTTCAGAAAAACGCTGTTCAACTGTATTTTAGAACTAAGGGTGAATTATTCTACATGACACGAGATCGTGGTGCGCGGTGTGTTCCAAAAGTTACTCAAAGTCGGTAGGCGAAGGGTTTCTCAAAGAAAGTCATTCGAAGCAGCTTTTTCCTTACGTTTCCGTTGAAAATTATGCTGGAACATGAGTTGCTGACTTAGTATTCTCCTTCAGGACGTTGGCGTACAGCCCTCAGAAATTGCAGTTCGTCGCCGAGATTCGACGCGAAGATCAAGATCATGGCAACTTCTGGATAATGAGCACCAGCTTCCAGAAGTTCTTCAGACGCGAGGTCAACCCTCACACGATCAACATCCGATTAATGAGACTGGTACCGCTGGTCGTGTATTGACATCACTTTTAGATAGCCACCTCTTGGAATGTTAATATAACGTTCATTATGACGTTATATTAAACGTTAAATACATGTAACGTTCAGCGTGCGAGGTTCTGTCCATTTTCATTGTTACAGAACGAGGAGCTCCGACGGCTCGAATTCTTTTGTTCAGATATTCTTATCCTCGATTTAAGAAATCTCTCGAGGCGATGGAGGAGTCACGTGAACATAGAGTCGAAATTGGAAAAGAATAATTACGATTTATAAGAGAATATTCGAAAGTGTCAAATTATTGGGTTGGAATCATAGCGCCGCGACAATTTCGAAAATGTTGACTTATGTCTTAAAATGTAGTCTATACGTGGCAAAATGTTAAAATAAATGATAAAGTTACTATAAATAAATAAATAAATATATATTAAATTATATAATATATATATATTAATATATAATAATATAATATATATATTATATATATAATAATATTATAATATTATATATATATTATATTATATAATATATATTAATATATATATTATATAATTAATAATAATAGTAACTTTATCATTTATTTTAACATTTTTTTATATATATTACAATATATAATATATAATAATATATATATTAAATTAATAAATAACATAATATAATAATAATAAATTAATACAAATTAATTTAATCGAGCTATCTCAACTCTAAATTATCTTAACAACAAATTCGACCAGTAAACGCGTTAGTAAACAATAACGCTGCGTATTTCCCGCGATCAGGAAAACGTGGCTCACTCCGCTGTGATTCTAACCCGCTCTAATATGGCGTCGATATTAAAATGCCTGCTGACACAATCTGTTGTTATCAGTTTGCCGAAAGTTGCGTAAGAAAAATGCAACTACTCATATTTCATCTGTTTCGATCGGAAGAGAAACGTCGCGGCCAACAATTGTTTACAAGATAAGCGATGACAAATTGACTTCGCATAAAAATCCGCAGCCTTGTAATCACGGAATCGAGTGATGAATGTATCGTGCGATTGTTGCGTATAAATGAGTAATGACGATAGTTTTAACTGCAGCGTGTATCGCTGGTTCGATAGCTCAATGAGAAGTGTTCGGATATGTTTTTATGTAGTGTTTGGCATCGTCGTAAATCATCGATAGGTGGGGGATGGCGGGGTGGGCGCTCGAACGCATGCATGCATACATACAAGAATGTGAACACACGTTGAAAATAAAGGAACGAGCTCCGTAGCTGTTAAGAATCGAACAATATCACGAACAAACGTACAGTGAATTATTTTTGTAAACGAAGAAGGGGGGGGGGGAAGGTTGTTTAATTAATTCATAATAACCGATTAACCGTTTGAGCCCCAAGCTGGCGCGATCGCGCTGTTCAGATCTTGCGTCGCGATCAAACTTCAGCGACGCAGGTGCATCGCGTAGCTGCTTTTTTTCATTTTCTTCTTTTCTTTTCGTTTTGTTCGTCAATCTTGACGAGCGCCGTCGCGCCGCTTGGTTCTCCTCGCAATTAATTGAGACAAGCGTTATCACGCTGTTCGGCATTTTTCGACGGTGTTTCCTGAACAAACCCCTGGGACACGAACGGTTAACCCTTTTAGTGCCGGGCGAAAAAGAGGCGCTTATGCGAAGATAACAGGTCGAATTTTACGATTTCACTAGAATTTGGAAAAAGGCTGATAAAAACCAAACGAAAAGCAATATTTACATAATTCAAAAAGCAGTGTATCAAGGACAAAATAGAGAATAAAACAGTGACGCTAATTTTTCTCTCGTGATGAAATTAGACTATTTATAACGTATTTATTTATTTATAACGCTACAAGGTGCGGGCCGATATATCGGCTCTGGCACTTTTCGCCGGTGCAGCGAGGGCCGACATATCGGCCTCCGGCACTAAAAGGGTTAAGACCGTCGAAAGAACATCGCAAGAATCTCGTAATTTCGTTCACCTGTACACACAATTTTCCGTACCGACGGAAAATTGTCTACGAACGCGGCACGAATAAAATGTCACCGAATCCCGGAAACGGTTCAAGTGTTTTCCTTCGCCCGTCACCCTATAAGTCATTCCACTTTTTCTTGGGACGAAATTCTGGATTCGTTGAACCGTATAGAAACGATTCGTGTGCAGAATTTTTACCAAATCCTGCGCGCATACCAGCTCGATTGCACAACCACCAGATATTTATGCAATCGTTCGAGTCGCACGGGTGATCGCGTCGCATAAATTAGGTTATTTACGACCGTCAATTATTATTAAGTTATTTACGACTGTTAATTCGTTCGGAATTCGGCTCGACGACTACATTCGAATTGAAATTACACTCTACGCCCGGTTTTATATATTCGGAAGAGAAAAAGAAAATAAATCGTTTATCGGTGGATAATTATATCACCGATGATATGAGCAGCTCGTGTTATAAGTTGACAGAGCGTGTCTTTGATTCTCTAATCGACAATCTAAATTCCACGGGAATTATTTCATAGCATATTACTGTAATGTTTCCTTAATTGACATTCAGATTGTGCAAAAATTGTTCAAAAATGGACAATTTGCGAAGAGGAGATACGATTATTCGAGCCTCGCAGCTCGTTTTTATAGTTGTTGAAAATTTGTAACTATAAAAACGAGGCGCAAGACTCGAATAATCGTGCCTCCTCTTCCCAAATTGTCCATTTTTGTGTACAACCTGAGCGTCAATTAGGGAGAATTTACTATAATTGGAATAACAAAAAGAGAAAGATAAAAAATGCTCGTCTTTTCACTTTGTTATCTATTTTAACCTTTTTATAAATCAATGAAGACAAGTATGCGACCCCAAAGTTGGTACAGTAAAACATTTGACCTTCGTTGAATTCGAAACTATGGTGTTTTTTCTTATGACGAGCAATCGAGTCCATTTTATTAAGAATACTGCATTGCTTTATTCATAATCAATTATTATTTACTTTCCTTCTTTCGGTTTCCTTCAGTTTTGAATTATTATCGCTTTTTGAGCCGTCGCTATCTTACCGAAAAATCTGTAAAGTTGCAACAACTTATCGTTGTACTGTAAAAATATAAATATTTCTTTTACATTGTAGTATCGTATAATTTTTCGAAATTTATTTCGTTTTACTGATTTCACGAATCAGGTTTTTCAACTTAGAAATAAAGAAATACAGTAAATTCTCCCTAATCGACGCTCAGCTTGTACACAAAAATGGACAATTTGGGAAGAGGAGACACGATTATTCGAGCCCTGGCTATATTTGTATAGTCATCGATTGTCGACAACTATAAAAACTGGTCGCGAGGCTCGAATAATCGTGCCTCCTCTTCCCAAATTGTCCATTTTTGTGCGCAATCTCTGCGTCAATTTGGGAGAATTTACTGTACTTGGAATAGTAGAAAGAGAAAGATAAAAAATGCTCGTCTTTTCCCTTTGTTATCTATTTTAACCTTTTTATAAATCAATGAAGACAAGTATGCGACCCCAAAGTTGGTACAGTAAAACATTTGACCTTCGTTGAATTCGAAACTATGGTGTTTTTTCTTATGACGAGCAATCGGGTTTATTTTATTAAGAATACTACATTGCTTTATTCATAATCAATTATTATTTACTTTCCTTCTTTCGGTTTCCTTTAATTTCGAATTATTATCGCTTTTTGAGCCGTCGCTATCTTACCGAAAAATCTGAAAAGTTGCAACAACTTATCGTTGTACTGTAAAAATATAAATATTTCTTTTACATTGTAGTATCGTATCATTTTTCGACATTTATGCCGTTTTACAGATTTCACGAATCAGGTTTTTCATCTTAGAAATAAAGAAATACAGTAAATTCTCCCTAATCGACGCTCAGCTTGTACACAAAAATGGACAATTTGGGAAGAGGAGACACGATTATTCGAGCCCTGGCTATATTTGTATAGTCATCGATTGTCGACAACTATAAAAACTGGTCGCGAGGCTCGAATAATCGTGCCTCCTCTTCCCAAATTGTCCATTTTTGTGCGCAATCTCTGCGTCAATTTGGGAGAATTTACTGTACTTGGAATAGTAGAAAGAGAAAGATAAAAAATGCTCGTCTTTTCCCTTTGTTATCTATTTTAACCTTTTTATAAATCAATGAAGACAAGTATGCGACCCCAAAGTTGGTACAGTAAAACATTTGACCTTCGTTGAATTCGAAACTATGGTGTTTTTTCTTATGACGAGCAATCGGGTTTATTTTATTAAGAATACTACATTGCTTTATTCATAATCAATTATTATTTACTTTCCTTCTTTCGGTTTCCTTTAATTTCGAATTATTATCGCTTTTTGAGCCGTCGCTATCTTACCGAAAAATCTGAAAAGTTGCAACAACTTATCTTTGTACTGTAAAAATATAAATATTTCTTTTACATTGTAGTATCGTATCATTTTTCGACATTTATGCCGTTTTACAGATTTCACGAATCAGGTTTTTCATCTTAGAAATAAAGAAATACAGTAAATTCTCCCTAATCGACGCTCAGCTTGTACACAAAAATGGACAATTTGGGAGAATTTACTGTACTTGGAATAGTAGAAAGAGAAAGATAAAAAATGCTCGTCTTTTCCCTTTGTTATCTATTTTAACCTTTTTATAAATCAATGAAGACAAGTATGCGACCCCAAAGTTGGTACAGTAAAACATTTGACCTTCGTTGAATTCGAAACTATGGTGTTTTTTCTTATGACGAGCAATCGGGTTTATTTTATTAAGAATACTACATTGCTTTATTCATAATCAATTATTATTTACTTTCCTTCTTTCGGTTTCCTTTAATTTCGAATTATTATCGCTTTTTGAGCCGTCGCTATCTTACCGAAAAATCTGAAAAGTTGCAACAACTTATCGTTGTACTGTAAAAATATAAATATTTCTTTTACATTGTAGTATCGTATCATTTTTCGACATTTATGCCGTTTTACAGATTTCACGAATCAGGTTTTTCATCTTAGAAATAAAGAAATACAGTAAATTCTCCCTAATCGACGCTCAGCTTGTACACAAAAATGGACAATTTGGGAAGAGTAGACACGATTATTCGAGCCCTGGCTATATTTTTATAGTAACCGACTGCCAACAACTATAAAAACTGGTCGCGAGGCTCGAATAATCGTGCCTCCTCTTCCCAAATTGTCCATTTTTATGCACGATCTCTGCGTCAATTAGGGAGAATTTACTATACACAACAATTGGGTCCGTCGAATGTCACCAATCATCGTTCACGTTCAACACCTACGCGAGAGCTGATTGTTATTAGATACGACTCCGCGTCTCCGTCAGCTATTTTTACCGCTGTATCGGGTGTACTTGAAAGTGCCATTTCCACGGGGAATACAACGGTATTATTCGCGTGAATTGGAAATACCTTAGGTCGCCGTCGATGAGTAATTCTTGTTTGGATATTTTATATGGCGATTTTACAACAGTTACCAACACGCGTTCTAGGTATCCGTTACACGGTCTCCTTTTTTCCAGCGGATTTCCTCGAACGGTGTTCCTTAAATGTGGTGAAATTGCGGGCACTCTTCGCGAGAAGGAAAACAAAGGAGTGACCTGGAACGTTGGAATTCGTTAAGAAGGTCCGATCACAATGGACGACGACAATGGGCCGAAACAGCTGAAATTAATTCAGACGTGAACTTCATAAATTCGTAAATTCACGGATTCAATTGAATTTTGTGAATTTATAAATTTAGAAAATAGTCCATTCATTCGCGAACGACATTTTATCGATTTAGTTGTTCCGTTCGAATATTTACTGATTCTAGAATATATTTTGATACTTTTCTGTCATCTAAATCGAAAACGCAGCCTTATTATGAGCCTTACTAAGGTGGCGGACATAGTTGCTTTTAACACTCGGACATCAAACCGGTCTGACAAAAATATAACCGAAGATTATTGTTATTTACTATTTTATTTATCATTTTTTTTATTATATTATATTTCGCAAGGTTCTCCTTCTGGATATATTCGTATTTTTATAAATCTCGATGAAACTTGTTGTCAGAAATTTAATATTCGAATAACAGTTTCAAAGAAATTTTTTTACATATTAATAATTATTATTATTAGATACAATTATTATATATAATTCTTATATGCAATTATTATGGTATACAAATTTATATTATTATTATTATTATTATTATTATTATTATATACAGTCTAATAATAATTGGCTTCAGTTTATCAAAATAAAATTTAAACTGAAGCTCGATTATAATTACAATTAATTATAATTATTATTAGATGCAATTATTATATGTAATTATTATGGTATACAAATTTATATTATTATTATTATTATTATTATTATATACAGTCTAATAATAATTGGCTTCAGTTTATCAAAATAAAATTTAAACTGAAGCTCGATTATAATTACAATTAATTATAATTATTATTAGATGCAATTATTATATGCAATTATTATGGTATACAAATTTATATTATTATTATTATTATTATTATTATATACAGTCCAATAATAATTGGCTTCAGTTTATCAAAATAAAATTTAAACTGAAGCTCGATTATAATTACAATTAATTATAATTATTATTAGATGCAATTATTATATATAATTCTTATATGCAATTATTATGGTATACAAATTTATATTATTATTATTATTATTATTATTATTATATACAGTCCAATAATAATTGGCTTCAGTTTATCAAAATAAAATTTAAACTGAAGCTCGATTATAATTACAATTAATTATAATTATTATTAGATGCAATTATTATATATAATTCTTATATGCAATTATTATGGTATACAAATTTATATTATTATTATTATTATTATTATTATTATATACAGTCCAATAATAATTGGCTTCAGTTTATCAAAATAAAATTTAAACTGAAGCTCGATTATAATTACAATTAATTATAATTATTATTAGATGCAATTATTATATGCAATTATTATGGTATACAAATTTATATTATTATTATTATTATTATTATTATTATATACAGTCCAATAATAATTGGCTTCAGTTTATCAAAATAAAATTTAAACTGAAGCTCGATTATAATTACAATTAATTATAATTATTATGATTACAATGAATTATAATTATTATAATGACAATTAATTATTATTATTATGATTACAATGAATTATAATTATTATGATTACAATGAATTATAATTATTATAATTACAATTGCACAAGTACAATATTACGATCTTGTATTTCGCGTGTGGTCTTGTGCTTAAAAAAAAGCTCAAAATAATTACAACGCTAAACGCAATATGGTAGAACCTCGGCTAACCGAACTGCGCTTCCCTCGATCTTTATTATTTCGATTTTCGATTATCCCAAGTAATAAAATCAAACAAAACACAAAAAAACAAAAAGAATTCAGCTATCAATTTTCGTACCATAATCTTGTAGATCGAACTTGTGGTTTTGAACTTCCAAAGTTCAGCATCCTTTCCGCCGTCGTAAGATGGAACGTGTCCATTCGGGTCCACTTTTTCTCCCACGATCCTTTCGCAAACAGGGAAACCTGCTCCGCGATCGTGGCCAAAGAGACCGTGACATTCGGCGGGGCTTGTTTAATCTATTCTACGAACAAGTTCGACCACGGGGAAGAGGACATGACTGATCGGCGACGGAGATTCGTTTGCTCCGCCGCTATCGGCGCGTCTCCTCAGTCGATCCACGGACGCGACGGGGTGCGCAGCGATCCACGGGATTCTTCTCTTCCTCGGCGATCGTTGGATCCAACGATCTACCGCGTTGCTGCACGTCGACGACTGCTACGAAACTCTTCGCAGAAGATTTCCTTCGCCAGGAAATTCGCTGGCGTTCTGTGACAAAGCTAAACGTTTCTTTACGAGTCGACGGTGATCGACGCGCACAGTTTCGACGCTGATCAAGGACGCTGTCGATCGAGGATCGATCCTCGTTCGTTTACCATTCAGCTGTTGCAAACTTCTTTCATCTCGACGGGAACAGACGTCTTTGTGCAATTGCAATCGTGTTTGCTGCGATAACACTCGCTTCGCCGCAGAATACGCAACGACCGTTTAAGAAGAAATCTGCGTTAACGACTTACAAGTCTGTTATTATAAGTCTGCGAATTTGTTTATCGGACGTCTCTTCTTTTCATGCTCGAACGTTTTGCTCGCGTTGTTGCCGCGAAGATTAAATTGAACGGAGACCGTTGAACCGCGGTTTAAAAAAAGACAATATCGTTCGTCGACGTGCGGATGTGACTGATCTGTCGTGAATAAAACATAGTAACGTCGACTTTCGACCTGCGGTTTTATCATTTATTTTTACACAGTTTTCGTAGTTGATTTTGCACCGAGGAAAGTGAACGATCGGTTGCGAAAAGTTGCTAAAAACTGGACCGATACGGCACCGTTCTCATCGGGATATCCGTGACGGTGAAAGCTACGTCCGAAAGAAAAACCCGGTGACACCGAAAAGATCTCCGGCTGAGCGAAACAACGAGAAGGACGTCGCCCTTAACGATCTCGAACGCTGCCTGCCTGTCAACGATCTCTTTAATAGCGCCGGAAATACCGTTACCTCGGCCGAATTGGAAATCTTTCACGGTCCGGGATCGGAAGTGAGCTGGGAGACCAGCAAATTTTCTTGGAGGAGGTGAGACATTTTTTCTGATAAAATATACAAATCTTTTTCAGACGTATTTTCAGACAAATACACAAATCGATACTTGGACTGATTTGTAGAATTCAAAATTTATGAGATTATGTAACTAAAGTTATGTAACTAAATTAAAATTAAATTTAGATTATTAAGTTATTAAATTTAAATTATCAAGTTATTAAATTTAGATTATCGAGTTATTAAATTTAGATTATCAAGCTATTAAATTTAGATTATCGAGTTATTAAATTTACATTATTGAGTTATTAAATTTAAATTACTGAGTTATTAAATTTAGATTGTCGAGTTATTAAATTTAAATTATTGAGTTATTAAATTTAAATTACTGAGTTATTAAATTTAAATTATTGAGTTATTAAATTTAAATTATTAAGTTATTAAATATAAATTATTGAGTTATTAAATTTTAATTATTAAGTCATTAAATTTAAATTATCAAGTTATTAAATTTTAATTATCAAGTTACTAAATTTAAATTATTAAGTTGTTAAATTTAA